TGAAGTTCATCCATAAATGTTTGCACTTCAGTCCACTTTGCACAAATGTCCTTAATCTTTGAAGAAGTCACCTTCCTCCATCTCTCTTCCTCCTTCTCTGCAACAACTTCCTGAGCTGGGATCTCTTGCTGTTGCAGATGAAGCTTTTGCAGCTCTTCAGTGGTTAGTTCTTCCCTGTGGTCCTCCACCAACTCTTCCACATCCTCACCACTCACCTCCAACCCTAGGGACATCCCCAGTGCCACAATAGATTCCTCACTTTCTTTACCAAAGGGCTTGCACTAGCTTTCCTTGGGCCCATGGTGACTTATTTAGCAGTTGCAATGACAAAAAACAATGGATTATTACGTATGAACCCACGGGGTGATGGTCACGTGTTGGGAAACAATGGCACACTGAGCATGAATGGTGTGGGAGACTGGCTTTGTGTGCGCGATGAGCGGATGGGTACCGGACAGTCGCCGAATCACGAGTCTAATCACGAATTGCGAGGCCAAATTTTGCCCCAAAAAACTTGCCAAAAGTCGGATTTCACGAAAGCCGATGCAGCCGAAACTTGAGGGTCCAATGTAATATATTTTAATGTTGACGAAGAAAGAGAGGCGGTAATTTCATGCACTGGGCAGGGAGGTATACCATCTTTTAGGAGTGAAGAAGAACAGGATGTGAGCGTGGGGGAGGTGCATGAGGCATTACGGAGAATGAAAGGGGATAAAGCAGCTGGAACTGACGGGATCATGATAGAAATGTTAAAAGCAGGGGGATACAGTGTTGGAGTGGTTGGTATTTTTGTTTAATAAATGTATGATAGAGGGGAATGTACCTAGAGATTGGCAGAGAGCATGTATAGTCCCTTTATATAAAGGGAACGGGGACAAAAGAGATTGTAAAAATTATAGAGGAATAAGTTTACTGAGTATACCAGGAAAAGTGTACGGTAGGGTTATAATTTAAAGAATTAGAGGTAAGACAGAATGTAGGGTTGTGGATGAGCAAGGAGGTTTTAGAGTGGGTAGGGGATGTGTAGATCAAGTGTTTACATTGAAGCATATATGTGAACAGTATTTAGATAAAGGTAGGGAAGTTTTTATTGCATTTATGGATTTAGAAAAGGCATATGATAGAGTGGATAGAGGAGCAATGTGGCAGATGTTGCAAGTATATGGAATAGGTGATAAGTTACTAAATGCTGTAAAGAGTTTTTATGAGGATAGTGAGGCTCAGGTTAGGGTGTGTAGAAGAGAGGGAGACTACTTCCTGGTAAAAGTAGGTCTTAGACAAGGATGTGTAATGTAACCATGGTTGTTTAACCCTTTGACTGTTTCCGACGTATAAATACGTCTTACGAGCCAATGTTTCTGACGTATTTATACGCATAAATTCTAGCAGCTTCAAATCAAGCAGGAGAAAGCTGGTAGGCCCACATGTGAGAGAATGGGTCTCCATGGTCAGTGTGCACCATATAAAAAAAATCGGGGAGCCAGTGGTGCATTGTGGGAATGCCATTTCAGTTGTCCTTTTTCAGCATGTCTAGCGGTAAGAAATATGTGATTCCCCAGCAAATCTGGGACTCTTCTCTTCCCAAGTGATGCTCTAACACAGATGGAAGTGTCAGTGAAGATCAATTTCATGATTTGGAGGAGTTTGAGACCAAAAGCAATGGAGGAGGAGGAGGGGGAGGAGGGGAGGAAGAGGAGGAGGAGGAGGAGGAGGAGGAGGAGGAGGAGGAGGGAAGGAAGAGGAGGAGGAGGAGGAGGAGGAGGAGGAGGGAAGGAAGGAGAGGAGGAGGAGGAGGAGGAGGAGGAGGAGGAGGGAGGAGGAGGAGGAGGAGGAGGAGGAGGAGGAGAAGAGGAGGAGGAGGAGGAGGAAGAAGAAGATGTAATAATATTGTTCCCTTGAAGCAAGAAAAAAAAAAGTCCACCCCATGACAGTGACAAGATAAGGGGAGATAACATCTGATAAGAGCTGACTTTGATGGCGTAAAGGAGGGTAATATTACATGACCATCGCCCTCCCTTTGTTTTTGCTGGTACACAAACATTTGTCTGTCTGTCTATTTGTCTGTCTGTCAAGCTCCCTGTCTGTCCATCTAGCTCTCTGTCTCAGAGAGAGCCACAAGACTGTGTCATCACGTTACTCACATCTTCAAGCAGAGTATAGCACTTTGTCTGGATTTCTTGGGTATCCTAGGTAATTTACACTATGTATACTTGTATTTATGTGTACCTGTGAGACAGAGATAGGCAGACAGATAGAGAGAGAGACAGATTGAAAGATATAGAATGAGGGAGAAAGATAATTAGATAGAATGGAGGAGGGGAAGCAGCATCCGACCCATTGTTTTGACAGGCGGTAGGGGTAGTGACTAATGAGACAATATGTCACTTGACAGCTGCCGACTTCTGACTCAAAAATTATAAGCCACACACTCGCACACAAGACGACGAGGAGGAGGAGGAGGAGGAGGAGGAGGAGGAGGAGGAGGAGGAGGATGAGGATGAGGATGATGATGATGATGATGATGATGATGATGATGATGATGATGATGATGATGATGATGATGATGATGATGATGATGATGATGATGATGATGATGATGATGATGATGATGATGATGATGATGATGATGATGATGATGATGATGATGGATGATGATGATGATGATGATGATGATGATGATGATGATGATGATGATGATGATGATGATGATGATGATGATGATGATGTTTGTTTTTGTAAACAAGTTTTGTAAACAATATATTGATAATTATGTTTGTGTGCTTATTGTGTTGTATACAACGAGTGTATATATATACATTGCACCTTACTTTGGTCTCATAGGCCACATAAGTTATGTGAAAAAATAAAATAGTGAAAAAAAACAAAAAACCTTCAATTACAAGTAAACTAAAGTTTACCGGGTGAGCGGCAGTCGCCGCTGTTGCCATACGCGGCTCATTTTCTGCAAACTTCACGGCTCTATATCTCGGTAAGTACCGATGGCAAAAAATTTTTTTTGGACTAAAACACTCAGAAAAATAATCTTAACATTTTCATAAGAAAAAATAATTTTTTTTTTTTGAATATTTGGCGACATAGAATGACAGTTTCAGAGAGGGGCCTGAAACAGTCAAAGGGTTAATATATTTATAGACGGGGTTGTAAAAGAAGTAAATGCTATGGTGTTCGGGAGAGAGGTGGGATTAAATTATGGGGAACCAAATACAAAATGGGAATTGACACAGTTGCTTTTTGCTGATGATACTGTGCTTATGGGAGAGTCTAAAGAAAAATTGCGAAGGTTAGTAGACAAGTTTGGGAGTGAGTGTAAAGGTAGAAAGTTGAAAGTGAACATAGAAAAGATTAAGGTAATGAGGGTATCAAATGATTTAGATAAAGAAAAACTGGATATCAAATTGGGGAGGAGGAGTATGGAAGAAGTGAATGTTTTCAGATACTTGGGAGTTGATGTGTCGGCGGATGGATATATGAAGGATGAGGTTAATCATAGAATTGATGAGGAAAAAAAGGTGAGTGGTGCATTGAGGTATATGTGGAGACAAAAAACTTTATCTATGGAGGCAAAGAAGGGAATGTATGAAAGTATAGTAGTACCAACACTCTTATATTGGTGTGAAGCTTGGGTTGTGAATGTAGCAGCGAGGAGATGGTTAGAGGCAGTGGAGATGTCCTGTCTAAGGGCAATGTGTGGTATAAATATTATGCAGAAATTTCGGAGTGTGGAAATTAGGAGAAGGTGTGGAGTTAATAAATGTATTAGTCAGAGGGCTGAAGAGGGGTTGTTGAGGTGGTTTGGTCATTTAGTGAGAATGGATCAAAATAGAATGACATGGAGAGCGTTTAAGTCTGTAGGGGAAGGAAGGCAGGGGTAGGGGTCGTCCTCGAAAAGGTTGGAAGGGGTAAGGGAGGTTTTGTGGGCAAGGGGCTTGGACTTCCAGCAGGTGTGCGTGAGCATGTTCAATAGGAGTGAATGGAGACGAATGGTATTTGGGACCTGACGATCTGTTGGAGTGTGAGCAGGGTAATATTTAGTGAAGGGATTCAGGGAAACTGGTTATTTTTATAAAGCCGGACTTGAGTCTTGGAAATGAGAAGTACAATGCCTGCGCTCTAACGGAGGGGTTCAGGATATTGGCAGTTTGGAGGGATATGTTGTGTATCTTTATACATATATGCTTCTAAACTGTTGTGTTCTGAGCACCTCTGCAAAAACAGTGACTATGTGTGAGTGAAGTGAAAGTGTTGAATGATGATGAAAGTATTTTCTTTTTGGGGATTTTCTTTCTTTTTGGGTCACCCTGCCTCGGTGGAAGAAGGCCGACTTGTTGGAAAAAAAAAAATATACACACACACACACACTTTGACAATTTTCTTATTCTTTTTAGTAATTATTACAGGAAAAGGGGTTTAAAAAAAAAGTGACAGCCCGTACAGGACTCGAACCTGTGACCTCCTCTGTGTTATGGAATGAGGCACTCTACAGTAATCCAGTTATTTTTATTACTAAGTTTAAAAGAAAAACTTTTGTTTTTCTTACTGGGTCATGCTGCCTTAATGGGATACGGCCACTTCATTGAAAAAATAATAATTGTTTTTCAAATGCCGACTGTCTCCCACTGAGGCAGGGTGACCCGAAAAAGAAACACTTTCACCATCATTCACACATAACCACTGTTTTTGCAAACATGCACAGAGCTGACAGTTCTTATGTTACTTCAAACAATAAATGTCCCAAACCCCTCCTTCTAAGTGCAGGCACAGTACTTCTTCCCTCCAGGACTCAAGTTCAGCTAACCGGATAGCTTACTAAGAATATAAAGAAGAAAACCTTTGATTAATAATAATAATAATATGCATTATATTAATGTAACAACAGTGGTGCTTTCATAGCATATATATGACTTTGGTCATGTGCATTCATCATGCAACAATGGTGACACTTTCATATAATGAAGGTTAGATGTGTAGCATGAACTCACCTTGCAACATACTCATGAGAGACATCAAGGAAGATAAAAAAGCACTCCTCATTAGGCGTGTAAGCTTTATGAGACCTCAACATTGTCCCCACCTGAAGAGGGAGATAAATACGGTAATGTATTAGCATGGCTTTACAACCTACTGCACTGACATATGTCTGTCATACACTCAAGCAATTAACCTACAACTTTACTGACTAATATTTATTAATCAATTTATCTACATACATTATTCCCTTTGAAATATTTTGTGTTTACCATTCGAGGGGCAATGCAATCATTGTCCTAATCTGTTCATCCAGTCTTATTATCAGTTCATTTTACACTGTGCTCCCACTACTATTAACTTTCATGGTAGATATGTTCATTCTGATTTAATTTTTAGTTTCATAATCCGTAAACAGTGGGAATGCCATTTCAGTAGTTCTTGTTCAGCATGCCTAGCGGTAAGAAATATGTGACTCCATAGCAAATCTGGGACTCTTCTCTTCCCAAGTGATCACTCTAACACAGATGGAAGAGTCAGTTTTGAGGAGTTTGTGACCAAAAGTAATGCCCAGGATACCAGAAGAAAGAAAGAGGGAGAAAGGAGAATGAAGGAGAATGAAATAGAAAGAAGGAGAAAGAAGGAGAATGAAGAAGAATGAAAGAGAATGAAAGACAATGAAAGAAAATGAAAGAGAATGAAAGAGAATGAATGAGAAAGAAATAAAGAAGGAGAAAGAAAAAAGGAGAAAGAAGAAAGAAAGATAATTAGGTAGGAGGATGGAGGGGAAGCAAGCATCAGACCCCATTGCTTTGACAGGCAGCAGGGAGAGTAAGTAATGATAAAATATGTCATTTAGACAGCTGCTGGACCCTGGCTCAGCACATTTGTAAGTACACACACACACACACACACACACACACACACACACACAACACAACACAATGAAAGTGTCCAGTGACTATATATATTTATATATATTAAAGAAACTAGAAGGAAGGAAGGAAGGAAAAAATGAAGAAAGAAAGAAAGAATGAAGAAAGGTAGGTAGGAAGGAATGATGACACATTTTACCTAGGATAACTAATCTAACACAACTGTCTGCTACTACTATGAAGAAAACTGTTCAGAGAGGTGTTTTGTCTGTGCACATAAAAAAAAGCCCACAAAAATGCAGACACACTCGTTTTATGTGTGAGGAGTGTAAAACACCATTGTGTATGAAACAATGTTTCAAAGAGTTCCACAAGCCACAGAACTTCTAGGAATACTTCCAGTGATTGTGCATTTGTATACACCTACCATCCGACTTACGACCTGTTCGACATACGTCCACTCGACTTACGGCCGTGCATCTGGCAGCTGGGCTGGGCCGGCTGATGCACACCGCTGTACAATATTTGACAATACTCGCGGCGGCAATGTGTCATGCAGGCAGCATCAGTTTGAGTAACCCTGCCCTATCACCAGCATCATACTGTATTAACTGTACTAACTGGACAGTAAATTTCACCATGGCCCCTAAGATGAAGTCTGAATCTTGCACTGGAGATTGTGGCAAGAAAGGCTCTTGCTCTCGAACTCTCTATTTGTTTTCACTGTTGCACATAAACCTGTCTGTATCTGTCTGCCTGTATATCTGTCTGTATCTCTGTGTGTCTGTTTATCTGTCTGTCTACTAGTGTGTCTGTCTTCCTGTCTACCTGTGTGTCTTTCTGTCTACCTGTGTGTCTTTATGTCTACCTGTGTGTCTGTCTTTCTGTATGTCTGTCTTTCTGTCTACCTGTGTGTCTGTCTGTCTACCTGTGTGTCTGTCTTTCTGTCCACCTGTGTATCTGTCTTTGTCTGCTTGTCTGTCTCAAAGCCACTCATTAAGAGTGTACTTGGTCTTGAAGACGCCATATTAATAATGATAATAACAATAATAATCACTGAGGCGCATTAAATGTGTATAAAATGTTAATATAGACATTTTGCTTAATCTATGATTTTTTTTTTCAAAATTATATAATGTTTTTCTGGTCGGCTTGACAGTGAACAGGAATCGTTCGTGTCCGGGATGGTAACAACAACAACAACGTTCGTTTACATAACTCGTGAACATTCTACATTCTCATTCTCTTTTTCATTTATTCATTTAATCTTGTCTACTCACCTCTCTCTACATTAAAACTACAGATATTTTAAGGTAAGTAATGAGTGGACACGATTATTACATTATAGCTTAACAATAATAATATTAATATTAGTACATATGTATTATTGTAATAATAATGATTATTAATATTATTATTAATTTAGGGCACTGGAGCACAGATCCACTGTATAGCACTTTGTCTGGATTATTTGGGTTATCCTAGGTAATTTATAATATGTATGATAACTTGACTTACGTGTACCAGTGAGAGAGAGAGAGAGAGAGAGAGAGAGAGAGAGAGAGAGAGAGAGAGAGGAGAGAGAGAGAGAGAGGAGAGGAGAGAGGAGAGAGCGGAGGAGAGAGAGAGAGAGAGAGAGAGAGAGAGAGAGAGAGAGAGAGGAGGAGGAGAGAGAGAGAGAGAGAGAGAGAGAGAGAGAGAGAGATAGAGAGAGAGATAGAGAGAGAGATAGAGAGAGAGATACAAAGAGACAGCCACATTCGGTCAGCCAGTCAGCCAACTACCCACCCACCCATTCAGCCACCCACCCATCCAGCCATCCACCCACCCACCCATCCACCCACCCACCCACCCACCCACCCACCCACCCATCCAGCCACCCACCCACCCACCTATCCAGCCAGCCACCCACCCACCCGGCCAACCACAGACCAGGCCAGCCAGCCAGCCAGCCGGATACGTATTACACATGTTCCAGAGTTGTTTCTCTTTACTTAGGGTATAGGTTACACAACATTCTGCCAGGATGACACTACCAGTGGTATTCTCCCATTCCACTGTGTCGACAATACATAAAGATAATAGTACTGTATGCGATGTAAAATTTACAATACATATCACTACCATGTATACATTATATACAATACATAAATAATTAAAATACAACAATAGAAGTAAATTATGGAAAAAAGAATGAAATAATGATTGTACATTACATTACAGTATAATGTAGGTAGTTTATATAGGAAAGTTTTGACATTATGCCCTACCCAATATGTCGGCAATTTTCGAAGGTTCGACTTACGACCAGTTGGTCAGAACCAAACTTGGTCCTAAGTCAGATGGTAGGTTTATATATATATATTATAGAACCATAGTAATAAAAAAAAATTTGTATTGTTTGTGTAAACAAGTTTTGTAAACAATATAATGATAATTATGTTTGTGCACTTATTGTGTTTTATATGAGTGTATAGCATATGTACATTGCACCTTACTTTGAACTCCCAGGCCCCATAAGTTATGTGAAAAAATAAAATAGTGAAAAAAAAACAAGAAACCTTGGAATTCAAGTAAACCTAAGTTTACCGGGTGAGTGGCATTCGCAGCTGTTGCCATACACAGCTCATTTTCTGCCAACTTTACTCCTCTATATCTCCATAAGTACTGATTGCAAAAAAAAATGTTTTGGGGCTTAAAACAGAAAATTAATCTTGACATTTTCATAAGAAAGAGTAATTTTTTTTTTTTTTTTTTTTAATATTCTTCAACACCAGGAGACACTTCAGGATTTGGGGTTCAGACAGTCAAAGGGTTAATCTTAGCCATAATTACTGCTAGACCACTACTACCTCTGTTGATACAGTAGGGACCCACTTTACGGTGTTTCGCCTTACAGCAATCTGCTAATACGGCGATTTCATTTTATTTATTTTTATTTTTTTAATTTATTATTTGGACATGATACATAGTTGTACAAAAGAAATACAGTGGTTGAGTGTACATGCCAAAAGCCCCTTGTATGCAGAGCATTGTGGGCAGGCTGAAAATTAACTTAAGATTAACTAAGCAATGATATATTCAGTGGTAAAAATACAGTAAATAAACTACAACATGAAGTACAAATGAGTATTTCAAATAAGAAGCTTTATAGTTGTACAAATTTGTAGCATATCTGATGAATTACTGAGCATTCAAGAGAATGGAGTATTCTATTAGGAAATCTAATTACAAAAAAAACATAGTTTGAAAGGGTCACAGGTTATACATTTATGAGATACAGTTAATCAGTATTTATTTAGTTGTGGGTGAGTAAGTGCTTTTTAACCCTTTCAGGGTCCGTCCCATAGATCTACGGCTTTACGTTCAGGGTCCAAACCGTAGATCTACGCCAAAATTCTAGCAGTGCCAAATTTAGCTCGAGAAGGCTGGTAGGCCTACATCTGAGAGAATGGGTCTGAGTGGTCAGTGTGCACACTATAGAAAAAATCTGGACGCCTGCATGGCATTGTGGGAATGCCGGCAAAGTAGCTTTGTTCATCATGCCTGGCGGTAAGGAAGCTCTCACTCTCCACTCACTCTCCGGGTGAATTCTGACTCTCCTCTTCACAACTTACAATTCTAAGACTGATGGAAGTGGAGCTGAAGACGAATTCTATGGTTTTGAACCATATGGTACCATTGTGCCATATGGCACAATGGTACCATCTGGTACAATGGTGCCATGTCATACAATGGTATCATATGGTACAATGGTATCATATGGTACAATGGTACCATATGGTACAATGCACCATATAGTACATTGTACCATATGGTACATTATACCATATGGTACAGGGTACAGGGACCCTAATGGAAATAAGTCTGTCTGACATTTTTGGGTTATCCTAGGTTCTCCAAACATACGCTGCTAAGTATGATATTCTATGTAACTTTATTTGTGTATACCTAAATAAACTTACTTATGATGCCACATGCACTTATGTAAGTTTATTCAGGTGTACAGAAATACAATTACATAGATTATCATACATAGCAGCATACGTATAAAATCCTAGGATAACCAAAAAAAGTCAGGGTGACTTATTTACATAGTTATCCCTGTATCTGTATCTACCATATGGTGTCCTGTACTGTATGGTACCCTGTACCATATGGTACCCTGCATCATATGTTATCCTGTACTGCATGGTACCCTATACCATATAGTACGATGTACCATATGGTA